TGACGAACGCCGTCATGGAATCCCAGGTTCTACCCGTCAAGTAAGTCCTTTGTTGCTTACTGCGCTGTTGTCAAGGCTGTATTTTAGACTTATATGCGAATGTATGCTGACGTGTCCAGATTTTTCGTTCAACAATGAAAATGTTTGGAACGATACATTTCAATATCTGAAGCAAAATCTAGCAGCGTTAGACTATAAGGTGACTCGGTGGAATGTGTTGCAGTTGTAGCTTAAACAATATCACATTCGTCATCAGCTTTCTTCCATTCACTTTTGGAAGAAGGCCTGTACAAGTCTTTGGCATAAACGTCTGTTTTCTGCAATTTATATCCGTTTTGATCCGGAAAACTTGCCTAGCTAATCCGAACATCGAGCTGTTGGTCTTCCCATGAGCCGTTTACGCTTTCTTGATGGTTGGAACCGATGCTAATGTGTATCTGATCTAACGAGGGTAGATTCTTCATGCAAAGTGATCGTTACCACTTCAACTTCTTCACTCTGGCCATGATCTCACAGACTCCTATTTTTGCTCTTTCCCATTTATTCGTCTTCCTATTTTTGCTTCTTATTTCGTACGCACCTTTCCATATTCCGTTCCGTAGCGTGCGGTTTACGAATAATTTTCAGGTGTAGACTGTATTACAGCAGTATTGTATTGTGTATATACTTTATTTAAGCAAATATTTAGATGCTGGAGTACTCTATTGGTATTTTCTGACATATTTTTCTAAGTTGAATGACTTGCTCATTTATTTTATTTAAAGAAATTATTAAATATTCGAGTAATATATTAGATCGACAGTATTCTATACTTAATAATTATTAAAATAAGAATATGTTGTTGTCCATTGCAAGAATAACAGCTGTGCTGAAAAAATGCTACAAATCTCAGTTATAGGATCCAGTATGGGTATTACTATTGTTGGTGCTATTAAATGGCTTCGAATCTCCACTACCCCTTATTTTCGGTACGGCTGGAATGCGCGTAGATCCAATTATGCAGCTTCGCATGAACATCATATGCCCTCTCATGAATCGTTGCTTTCATAGCCAAAGAACTTAACGAGGT